CACACTCTACGGTACGCAGCCCACACTCCGCATCGGGTTTGCTGCAGCACTGTCGAGAGCTGTCAAGCCCTGGGCAAGCACAGTTCTCCCCTCTGCTTCAAGAAAATTCCACAGAAATTGTTATTCTAATTCCCTCTGAATTCTTGGTGTACTTTGGGAGAATGCTAAAGGAAAAAACCCACACAATTTCCTTGCTCGGACAAGAGGAAACCTTCACACACATCCTAAGATCCTGTGGGTCTTAATCACGCAGCAAAAGGTACCCATTCGTGAAGAGCTCCCCAACAGACAGCAGGAGCAGGATTTGGCCATCGGGCACCAGAGAAGCAAGGAGCTCAAAAGGCTTCTGAATTGCCTAAAGCTGAGGCAAGAATTTGTTTAAGCCAGCAATAACATCAGCATCGGCTCGTACATGATCCTGACGTGCTGCTGCTAAAATGGGTAATATTGAAAGAATATCTAAATTAAAGCACCTGGTGTTCCCTAATGTTGTGCGGTGGCTTGATTTCTCCCTTCACAGAGGAGTTTTCTCAGTGTATTCCCTTTCTGACCTAGATAAAATAATTCCTTATTTTTCATCTCCTTCTGTAAGGTAATGGCATGGTGGAGAATGTGATGTGTGAGCTACAGATGGCACTGAAAGAATCCAAGGATCTAAAAATACAGGGAGTTTTACAGGAAAGGTTTCGTAAGGTGGCTGTCTCCTCCTTGACATCACTATTCAGCTGGCTATTGGAATGGGACTAATTTAATTAAGAGAACAGCTCAGATAAAACATTTTTTGTCAGATTCTCCAAGTCCTATTCACCTTGCTTGAGAACTCAAGCAAGTCTTCTCTTAAGCAGTCCAGTAATACACCTCCCATCATGGCAGCTTAGCTGAGCTTCGTAACAATAGGAGCAATTGGCACAAAGAAAACTACTGAAGTTAATGTAAAGATTATCATATTATTTTTGCAATGGTGACCCAACGGTCAAGGCAATTGCTGGAAAGGAATTGTTCAGTGCAGTCTTGATCTTTCACTCCTCAAAAGCTCCAGGTGAGTTTTATTTGCAGTGTTTGGTCCTGAAACCCTCACCGCTTGCCACTACCTCATTCCACTCCTCTGCTTTCCGTAGGAGCAAACCCAGCTCTTTCTAGGCAATAAACAGCACTTGTGGGTTTGGGGGTTTTTGTGCAGTTATCACTGCTATTGGGTTGGGGTTTTTTTTTGGTGAGAAACAGAGCAGAATGGTGAGACCATAATACAGTTCAAACACAAAGCAGGTTGTTAATTTGACTGTGCTCCAATCTCTCCTAGCATGAAACTTGATTTCTTGATAATAAATTTCTGCATCTGGTTTCAATAATTAATCAAATAGCACAAATCCACTTTGTGTTTTAAAAAGAATGGGGTGTTTTTAAGGAAAGAGAAAATGCTGGGGATGTTTTTCTGGTTAAACAACATAGTTCTGCAGCTCTGAAACAGAACCGCGATGCTCAGTAAATGCAGAGTTGGTGAGTGACAGGGAAAGCAGGGGGAGAAAAGGAGCCAAGAAGAGGGTTAATAGAAGTTTTCCAATCTAATATTCACAAAGTAAACACATAAACAACAATAAAAAGCTTCTATCTGACCAAGGAAAAAGTGTTAGAAGGATGTAATGCAACCCCTGCAGCATTTCAAACTCTACTTCAAATCTAGGTCTCTTTCCACATAGCATGTTCATTGCTTGCAGCAAAACTGGGCTTTTTTAAAGAACACGTCCCTTTATCATCATAGAACCAGGAGTTTCAGATTTCATACTTGTGATCTCAATAGCTTGCAGGAATTTATATGCAGAACGCAACTTTGGTGCACAAAACTGGGTGGGGAAAGTGTCAGACAATGTATTTGTGTATCACCCAGCAATCTGAGAGGGGACCGGTGTATTTTAGCTGTCCCAACATTGTTTTTCAGACTTCAGGAAAAAAAAGAGGAAAGCTCAATAAAAATAAAATAATAGCTTTGTACATATGTGTGAGAAGTGGAATAATGGGTCACCATTAACTGGCTGTTTACTGCTTTTGTGTCAAGTGACTCTTTCCTAAGGAAATGTGCTGTCTGCAATCTTGCAGATTTACCTCTTAAAGCCTTCAGTGAAGAAATCACTGGTTTAGCACATCAAAGTATGCGTATGTACATAGAAGCACTTGCACTACTCATTTACCCTAGTTAACACTCCTAATTATCCTTTCACCCAAGATCTGGATTTCCTTGGTTTGATAAATTATAAGGTAGTCTGCACAAACATCAGTCTTCCACAGGCATGAATTTTCATGCAGTCATGTATACAGAGGGTTAGGGACACACCAAGATACACACAGTGTTCTTGGTACATGGCAGGATTAAGCTCAGGATATTTCCCTCATTCAAACCTCTTGAGAAGTCTCGATGCCACCTTTGCCTTCTTCTCCATACAATGTGTTTCAAAGACACATGTGATGGAGCGCTCAAGCCTTAGTGTTTCTTTTCTGGTGCTCAGAAAAAGCACAATGGCAGCTTACAGCAAGTCCTCTTCGTACCCCTAAGCAGAATCACCAATTCCACCAGCACCGTGGCAAATACATATTAATAAAACACATTTATTAACTCAGTTTTCCATTCTTTTTGTTTTCCCTAGTCAGGCCTGCAGCCAGTGTAGTACAAAAATCCTGGGAAAAATCATAGAATCATAGACTCACGGAATGGTTGGAAGGGACCTTGAGATCATCGCGTTCCAATCCCCTGCCACAGGCAGGGACACCTTCTACTAGAGCAGCTTGCTCCAAGCCCCTGGGTCCAACCTGGCCTTGAACACTGCCAGGGATGGGGCAGCCACAGCTCCTCTGGGCACCCTGTGCCAGCGCCTCAGCACCCTCACAGGGAAGAGCTTCTGCCTTATACCTAACATAAATCTCCCCTAAACTTGAGGCCAGCGTTCAAGTGTGAGTAAAGGCAGAGGCTGGGCACTCCAACCCTGAACCTGCACAGGGATCTTCAAGAGAAGCCCTGAAGCTGACATCCTGATGGCCAGAAGAGACACTTTGAGTCACACATTGCTCCAGGAAAGCAATGAGATCTCCTTCAAAGAAAATCCTTCTACCCACGTGAATCCTGGTCTTGGATATTTCTCACTGGTACATTGACTTTTCAAGATGCACAGGAGCTAACTGAACCTGAATTTCCTGGCTTTTGAGAGATGATAGGCATTGTTTACTCTTTTTACCTACCACATTTTTAATTAAATCAAATTCCCCATGCATGGTTAGCTGTAAAGTGCATATTACTTACCTGCATCTTCAGATCTTTGACAGTCCCGTGGGTAAATCCATAATTAGTTGGTTTTGTAAAATGCATATTATTTACTTGACAGGCCAGAATGGCTCTAAAGGAACTGTCCTCCTGGCTTGGTTAAGTGCATAATTAGGCAGGAGTTTAAAACCTGTATTATGTTCCCCACACTGAAGCCATTGCACTCCATTTGTATATGGAGGAACGTAATATATTCATACTTAAGAAAACCCAAGTATTGTTTACTCAATGGGCCAAGCCAGCAGATAATGATGTATCTTATGTATTTAGGACCTGTGCAATGCATAAGAAAAAATACTCATGAAAATGTATGGAAAAAAATTACTTTGCAGTATTAGGGCTTTTTTAAGGCACCGTGTCCTCACCACTTCCTCTCAAAACTCCAAGTATGCTCAGAAGAACAACTATAGCATGAAGAGTGTTCAACCAACAGGATACTTGTACATCTACCTAACCATTCAGGCCCATTTCATGTATAAAGGGAGTATTTGTGCTCGTTTCCAAGGCCAGAGCTATTTAATAACATTAGAGTAAAACTTGATTATACACTCCTGCTTCCTTAGTCCTCTGGCACAGATTCTTACTAGCATAAAAGCATGTTATGGCACTGAAGAAGGTAGTGGCATGTTAATCAGCAAAGCAGAGGGTCTGAATCATTGTGTCCTAGAAATCACACACTGTTTCCAGCATATATTTACAAGCATAAAGGTTCAGAGACTGACACGTGCCCATGAGTATGTTCATGTCATAGCAACGGAGACCTTTCAGGGTGACCATTCCCCATGGGAAAAAAAACTCTGCAGAAAGCCAATGTGCCACTTTTGTGTGACTCTGAGGTCTTTGCAGGAACACATGTTGTACACAGGCTTTGAGGCCTCAGAACAGGGATGAGCATCACACAGTTCACGAGTGACACACCAAAACCAAGAAGTAGTAATTCACACAGTACTCATTCCAGACCACTGGCCAAGTACCATTCACCTCAACTGAGCCAAACATCTGGACACATTGCTACATATTATGAACCAGATCCATATAGGTTCCGAAGCACCACTTGCTATTGATTTTGCTAAGTGAGATACCCAGATAACTGAAGAGCCATGCCGCTGTGTGTTTGGACTCTCAACCTACCGAGAGAGCCTTTATAAAGCTGAAGTTATTGGACATGAGCTTCTTCTTGAGTAGAAAGGGTGTCCTCCTAAGCATCTGGTGTTCATTTACTGAGGGCAATTAAGTAAGAATTCATCACCCCTCCCTCCCATTCACTCTTATCTCCCAGCCCTTCCTCATAGTGCTGCTATTCCTCTCATTTCAGACAACACAGTAAGGCACCTCAGCCCTGGTGCAGAGTGAGACAGAAGCTATATTGCGATGCTTTGGTGGGTGAACACCTCCTCCAAATCACAGCTCAAAACAGCAATATGTCCTCTGACATGGGCCAGGTCAGGCAGGAAAGCACCAGCTCCCCTCAAAGCCTCATTCACACTTAATTTGAGTTCACTCCTTCCCATGAGTGCTGCACCAAGGCCAAGCTACACACCAAAAGCATGATGTATTGCATAAGGAACTTGCCATAAGTAGAATATAACTCCTTTCTGGAATCTGCTCAGGTTATGGGCACACAATCAAATGCAATCAACACACAGCAGCTAAACAAGTCAGCACCTGTCAGCTGGGCCTCTAAACCTACCTCTGGAAGCGCCTTTATGTTCCACCCAGAAGCGGATTATGGAAAGGGCCATGCAGTGAAAGATGCTGCCTTCACCCCTGCTTGATTTGGCTGTTCACCACCCTGCTGCTGCGAGATGCCACCTTCACGTTTCAGCTGGCAAATCCATATCTGTGAGCGCTCTCATTTGCTCAACTGAAAAGAAAAAGAGGAGAAAAAGAACATAAAAATCAGATGGCTTCGTTAAAACAGCTCCGAACTAAGTTGGCTGCAGTAGCACTGAAGTGCAGAAGGACTGTTTTTCTCCCCAGACAGCTGGTGAAGCTGGTTAGGGTGATAACCTCCAGGACATCAGTGGTAGCAAATAGCTGGGAGGAAATTAAGCTGTTTGTACTGTACTCCTCTGGAATAGCTCCAGCCCACCCGGGCTGACAAGAAAAGCTGCTACCTTAACTCCCAGTGGAGAGGGCCTCAGTTTCAGTCAGTATTCTCAATAAATGAGAAAAAGAACATGCAAGTAAAACCAGGCAGGTTCCTTAAACAAAGACTACGACTCATTTTAAGTCACGTTGCCCAATCCTATTGATCATTATAGACACTTACATGTACTAGAAATCTACTAGAGTTTTCCTGTTTTGTTTCTTTACTTCAATACAAACCCAAGAACTCTCTCCCACAGTAGCTAGATATTTCCTGAAATAACACCAGTGGTGGCTATTTTACTCAGCAGGTTCCTTTATCACCGTGGAGCAGGGAAGTTGACAGGCTTTGTATCTGAAATGTAATTAGCTGGTGGGAATACAGTCATAATGAAAGCAAAAGTTACATTATTGCAACCATGTGATTGTTTGCTCTTTCAAACAGGAGTAAAAAGTGAATTCCAAGGTATGTGTTTGGGCGACTTATTCAATCAATGTCCTCAGAGTTCCTACGTGTCTGTTAAGGGGAGGTTTAGATCAGGTTTCTGTCTGAAAGCTTTTAAGGCCTCAAAAGAAGAAATGAATGATGAGAAATGACTCATGCCATCGGGCCTGAGTCCCCTTACAGTCCGTTCAGGGTTCATCCAGATTAACAGAGAAGCAGCTCTCCCTTAAATGCAAATGTAGAGATTTACAGACCCTTCAAAGCACAAAAAATAAGCTAATTTCTTCATTAACAAAAGGCTTTCATTTTCTAAGCTAAATTCTGTCAGCAAATACATTTGTAGGGCAAGCCCCAAACATGCTGAAATGCAGCACAGTCTGATGTTGAGGTTGAGGCACAATAAAACAGTGTTTAGGATACAACTGGGCCGTGATCTCCTGTTAGTCACAGGGAGAAGAAAATGAAAAGGAAGAAAACTGATAAAGGAAAGAGCAGTTTGTTCCAGAGAACTGTAGTTTGCTCTGTAAACACTTATAGCTCCATGTGACAGACACAGCACTTATCAACCCATGTTGGGGAGTGGTATATATTAACAGCAGTCAAGTCCTGCCTCCCAGATCCCTGGGATCCTTCTTTCCTAGATGCTTTTGACGCTTCTTCTCAAAACAAGTATTTTGTCATCAGGTTCTCCACCTATTGATGGCATCTTTCCAGGAAAAGGAGGGGAAATTCTCCTTCATTCATATAGCCTCTTTAGCAGGAATAAAGCAGTGTACTGGAATAACAGCAGTTCTAGGAACTCCATGGAGATATATGAAATCGTATGGCAGGGAAGGTCCCTGAGACACAAAGGACACAGTAAAAGAGACTCCAGCAACCTACTCCAGTGATGCTACAACCTCCCTGACCAGGAAAGCTTTCTTCATATCCAGCTTCAATCTTGCTACACTTCAGTCCCATTGCTTTGTCCGCAACAGATAGGGAGAGCAGACTTCTCCATCCATGAAAAGAACAATCACACTCCCTTCCAGACAGCTTTGCCTCAGGCTCAGTAACCCATTTCTATTAATCTTCATGGGCCACATTTTCTGAAGTTCTGATTATTCTCCTTGTTCTCCTCTAAACTGCATCCAACTGATCCAAATCTTTCCCCAATTACACTGCCCCAAATAGGATGAAAGGCTCCAGCTGGGGCCTTCAGAGAAACGAGAAATCAATGCAACCTCTTGTAAATGTTCCCCAAGAGCTGTTACCCAGGCACTAAAACTGAAGAGGGATATAAACAAGGTCCTTTCTACAAAATACTGTGTTAAACAAGTTCCTGTGTTCCCCCAAATCCAACAGCAAACTGAAAGTGGTCCTTGTTGGAATGACACAGCTGGCACTGTGTCATTCCATCATATTCCCATGTTCCTTGCTCCCCATTTCCTACCACCAGCAGCAATATAACCAGGCAAAGGGAAGAGGAATGCACCTTTTAGTTTCTGTGTATCTAGGTGTCCTAAACATATCCAGGAAGAAGTGGGTCAAAGCATTAGAGTCCATGTTGAAGCAAGAGAAGTCTAAGTTAAGCAGAAGCAAATCTGTCCTTAATAGTGTTCTGGTGCAGCAAATAAACCCCCCAAAAAAACTTGACACAGGAAAAATCAGCCACAAGTTTAGGAAAAGTTAATAACTACAATTTAGCCATGAAGATACAAACCCTGTATCAGCATCCCTGTTCTCTGCATTGATGCTGATGTTATTTTAATATCATGCTGTCTTCTGGGAATGACATTATCATTGGGCCAGTTGGTTGCAAATAGAACAAGCAATCGAGATCAAGAGGGAGCACATTTTCTTTCCATCTCCCTTTGCAGCAATGCTTAGGAATAATTTCAAATTTGGTGGAAGACTCCAAATGTTTTACTGGCTTTGGCAGGTGCCAAGTTTGCCAATGCACCTCTCCCCATCCCCTTGCCCTGTACAGGAACTGTGACTCTATGGGCTGCAACACATAGAGTCATATGGGCTGCAACCCAGCATCAACTGCAACCAGTAACTCTGAGGAGATGATGGCTGCGTTTTGAAGTTCGACCAGTGGCCTTCACATAACCCTTTTGAAGCTATTTGTTCAGGCTGTTGCAGACTCAGGGAGTCACTTTTACAATTACTTCCATGTTTTCCTTGTGGTCACAGACATGGTGAGAACATGTTGGTATAAAGAGGTGTGAGACACACTGGATTGCGAGGACGTTCATGAGCTGATCTATAGAGAAGCCAGCACAGATCCAATAAGATGTGGATTTCCAGACAGCAGCCTAAGTAACACAACTGCTGGTAGTAGTAACACCAGTGAAAGGTGTTTTAATTCTGACCATTGAAATCAGTGCACTGAAAAGTACAGTGAATTAGCATCACACTGTAATCTAATGTAGCAAGCTGTGATCACTCACAGGACCATCCCTTACTTCTGACAGAACAATTAGCACACGAAATGCTCCTTTCCTGATCCACAAGTGCTGCTTAAGCCTCTCAACAACTTGTGTTGAATGTGCACTCAACAATTACGGATAACTGGTGAGTAAAAAGTGTAGAAATCAGTGGTCAACACACTGGCGTTTGGTATTTTCTGCTGTCGCTCTATCCAGTTAATTAGGAACTATTTCTTAATGAGTGGACTTCCAAACTGGTGTTATTCTTAAACCCTTTGAAGTAAAAGTAGGTCTCGATCTGCCTATTTTATATTTGTTTTTCCCTTTTCCTTAAATCAGCAAATCCGCTCTTGCTGATTTTAAGAGGCATATGGTTCTTAATCCAGCGGTGTGTGAATGACGGCAGTAAATGGCTTTGAAAGTGCCTCAAAAGCCAAAATATGGAAATTTCCCCCCCACCCCCAAGAGAGTAGGATGAGGAGTCATTATTTTTGTGATTGCAGAGAACACTGCCCGAGTGTTCCGAGGCTGCGTGTGTGTAATTGTTTGTCTCTTCCTCACTTTGAAGTGTTCCCCCTTTTTTAACTGTAAAACCTCAGACGCACTCAAGGACAGCTTCCACAGCTTGGTCAAGAACACCAGCACATCTACATATTCACTAAGTCATAAATCTTCTATACTTTGGCTATGCATATATGACACATGACCCTTATTTCTCCCTTGTGGTTGCACTCGGAGAGACAATAGAGGTCTGCTAAAGCACACAGCTTGCCTCTTAGGTAATATTTCATATGTATCTCTTTACAACTACCAACACATCAAGGTAACTGAGCTGCAGTCTGGGAGGGGAATTTAACCATAATTGTCTTAAATTGTCTAATTTGGATAAAATGAGCAAGAAAATTCCCTCAGCTATTTGTTAGTATAATAATGTCATCTATATGTTTCTTGCCTTGTGGTATTCTGTTTTGTAAAGGGGAATGAACTCTACTCTGAATCCTTTGGATATTCAGTTCGATCTGTCTGTCAGACATTAATTAGTTTCATAGCAATCTCTCACTGCTGTCTCGTGGAAAGACAGCAAGACTGAAAAATAAGCCAGGATGACAAAGGGAGAGCTTGACTTGCTTCTGACCAAAGAAATCTGCCATTAAGAAAAGGTTCAGAACTCAGATCTGAAGCTCCTTTGCCTGCCTTGTGGGAGTACAGACGATTGGATTAAAACATTAACAGGTTGCTATTATACACAAAAAGTCATCTTTTCAAAGAGTGCTCTATTTGCTCATTTATTTACATGTACATAAACAAGTGGAGAGAGGGAGATTTTCAGAGCAGAGCACTGGAACTCAACCATGCGACTCTTGCTAATGACAGCGGCTGTTAGGCAGCCAAAACGCTGAATGAGGTTTCCAAATTAACCTTAAAATAACATTATGGAGGCCTCAGTAGCAGCTCTGCAGTTAAATCCATATTAAAATTTGCACTCGGAGCATCACTAATGTCCCAGGATTTCCTGCTCAAATTACTCTGCCTCATCTCCCTATTTTACATACTGAGGTCTAATTCTCTGCTTTGGAACAGCATTTGTTAGCGCTGGTACAAAGCATATGTGCAGCACCAGCAGAAAAGTGCTACAGCAGAGCAGAGAGTCATGTCCTAACGCTCCAGGAGACAAGGGAATTTGTTCCTGTATATTTAAATACATTAACTTTCACTCAGAAAGAAAATTTAACCTGTCCCATTAAAAACCCTGGAGCTCAGACTCCCATCCTGTGTCAGGTAATAGCAGTGAGGAATCCCATGCCCTAAGTCTCACATACACATCTTTGTAGATATTTTGAAGATGGGCCTTTTGACATCTATTTTTAACATAAATTAACCTCCCTTTCATCATTAGTTATCTCCAGCTCCAGCAGA